ATCGGAAAACCCAGTGATTTCTACTCCAATCGGGTATCATACATTATGTTTCACAATGTTGGCCCGAGCACTGAACCCTGAGGCACTCCCGCAGCGACTTTGTACTTTCCTTTCCTTAGATTCTTTCTTTATATGAATTTCCACTTCGAAGTACCATAGTTTGTTTTTTACATTGGAAATATGTCGTGTACATATAAATTTACCTTATGTTTTTTAAGCCCAAATAAAAATACTGATGCATTTGAATGTATGTACTTAAATATTTTCGTTTGCGTTTAATTAAATAGCTATATATGTATATGTGTATAAATAGGTACATAATAACAAACATAAAAAGTGCACATAGAATATTTCTATTTATTTTTTTTAAATAACTGATATAATTTAATAATGAAGTTTTAGTTTAGGCGTGCTCTCCTTCTCTGCATTGTTTTGTTTCGTCCCCGGAGGGCATATTTTTATCATAAGGGACGTAGGGTGGCTGCGTCTGATTCACATCGGATATCTTTTCGATTTCAATGTATTCATCCTCTTCACCAGTTGTAACCTTATCATCAGCCACAAGTATTTCTTTTTTCACCTTTGTAAGATAGAGCTCGGACTTATCAGTCTCTCTTGCCATAGAGAATTTGTCATTACTGATGTCCATGTTTCGCAATTCCCCCACGTCTTGGATCTCGTGGGCCAAAAGGTGATGCTCCAGTTCAGCGCGGAAAAAGAACTTGTCGCTGCAATTATTACAGTCATAGGGGCGAAACTGCAGTCCATGTTCATGCATATGGGATAGTAGGCCACTTGGGGCTGTAAATATAGCGGAGCATATATAACAATTAAAACCGCGCTCTTCACAACCGGCAAAAGTGTGCTCTACTAGATGTTCTTGCAGCTTTTGAGTGTGTGGCAACACCAGTTTACAAATATTGCAACGAACTTCAATTTTCAATGTGCTTCGGCAAAAATCTGAGCCATGTTCTGAAATTTCGGTTCGCAAACTTTGAGTTTTAAGTTTGGACCCTAGATTGTGCTTCCGGCAGCACTTTTCACAAACTTTGGCTTCTCCATTCATTGGTTTCGGTATTGCCTCTAAACAAAGAGCACACGTACTTTCTGGATTGTTGGATGATTTGGTGTGAAATCTGTGAAAATAATGGGCATATGAAGTAAACATAATTTATATTAAAAACAAAAGCTAGTATTTTCTTACTGTGCGTGTAAACTGATCTCAAAATCAGAGTGGAGTGATTGCCGACAGCAGATGCATTGCATTGGAAGCTGAATTTCGTTGTTATGCTCACTAAGATGATCTTTGAAAGCTGAAACCCCGTCCAAGAGTTTGCCGCAATGAGAGCATTTACCAGACTGCCCAACTTTTGAGTGTTGCAGTTTGTGTTCCGCCAATATAGCAGGCGAAGGGAAAATTTCATCACAAATCAAACATTTATGCTTTCCAGTTGAATTGTGACAAGTCTTCATATGATGTTCTAATTCATTACGTGACTTAAAGTTACCAGAGCAGTAGGCGCACCGCAAACTTACTCCAGTTTTCATATTATGGACGATTTTACGATGTGAGTTCACTTCACTTTCGGATCGGAAATCATTTATATCGCATATAGCACAGAATACAGAATTTGCAATTGTCGGTTCTGCTGGCGAACGGTTTTGATGTAAATCTGCTTGAGATCGGAGAACGGGTTGTGACTTCAGGCCGTTGCAATAACTTATTTCCGCTGTTGGCTTGTCTAATCTCTGCTGTGTATACATGTCTATTAGACTTCGACTTGTGTCGAAATATCGCTGGCTGAGGCCATACATCAAACCGGGGTGTTTGACGGCGCCTGTATCAATCTGCAATGTTCTATGGAACTTTCCGTCGATTAATGGGTTAGCTGTTATAGCGGAACTTGGAAAAAGATTTTTATTCAGATGGGCCGTAAATGCAATATTGTAGTCAAGAATGCTCGTGTTATTGTTTTGAGAGGAAATTGGCATTTGAGGAGTTTTGTTAAGTAAGGCATTCACATAGAGGGGATTCAATTGGTTTGGCAGTTGAGGTGATGTGGAAATTTCTTCAGAGTTAGCTTTTGGAGAAAATGCCGTCGAATTCTTGCCTGCATGATGATGTTGCATGTGCCTGTCCAATAGGAACTCCACATGGAACTTTTCGGGACACGAAGGGCAGTGGAATTGGCGAGCATGAGCGGCCAGATGAAAATGCATTTCTAAATCATTTGTGCAGACAGTTCTACAAAATATGCATTGTAGTAAATTGAATATTGCAGCAATGAGACCAGGATGACCCGTTTTGAGGTGTGTATCAAACTCACTCTCAGATCGAAATACTTCCAAACAAATCGAGCATCGAAATAACTTTGTTTCAACGGAATGAGTACAAGCGAAATGCATTTGTATAGCTATATTTGACTCGAATATTTCAAAGCACACATCACACTTCAACATTGGAATCGCGTGTTGCTCCAACATATGGTTTTGAAGCTCCTCAGGTTTTGCGTAAGACTTTTTGCACTTGTTGCTTGCGATATATTCTGAATTAGAGATTAGGTAATGTGAGTTGACATGGCGCTCGTAGTCCGCTGTTTCCTGTAATGCCAGACCGCAATGGTGACATATGAGATTTAAACCTTGAGTTATATGACTTTTCAAATGGTTACGGAACTTTTCAAAATCTGGCAGTCCCGCATTGCATTGATTGCAAAAGAATATATCTGGTTGTTGAGGTTCCTCAGAAGGTGAAAGAGGAGTTTTTGAGCGACAGTTGCTTTTACTAAGATCAGTAGGTTTTTCTTCTTGCTTATCTTCATTAGAATTTCTCGAGCCCGGCAGTATTGGTTCCACCTTAATGTTACTTTCGATGACGCCATTATCTTCTCGCAAATTAATTTTATCGCCGACTAAACGAGGACTAAATGTTCCTGATGCAGCTAAACGATTGAAGTGCTCGAAATACGAGTTAGGACTGGCCAAACGGTCGACATGTGCAACACGAATATGTTGAAATAATGCGGGGAGATTTCCTAACTGCATCGTGCAATATTCACACCTCAACTGGAATGAATTTAGTTCAGATGAGGGGGTGTCAGGAGCGGATGGTAACTTAGTGTTCTGCGAGGAAAATACCTCTTTATCATGTTTAGTGTGAATATGCACATTGAGTTGCTCGATGGAGTTAAACTCGGACTTGGAGCAATAATTACATGCCAAAAGGCTCACAGTTCGCGGTCGTTTTGGATAATCCAAACGGTTTGGTTTACTATCAGTGTGAACCATTGTCGTGGCATAGCGCCTCTTATGGAAACTTCCACTACTGGAAATGGATCCGCTTGAACGTGGACTGTAATTGAGTTCTTGAGGATTACCCCCTGCCGCTAAAATAGCTGCTTGTTTTTTATGATTTTGCATATGTGATGTCAACGCAGCGGCGGTGTTGTATCCACGATTGCATATTGTACATTGAAATGGTTTCTGATTGTCGTGTGTTTTCATGTGAATTTTGAGATGATCGCTAAAATTAGAATTGGAATATAATAAGTATTTTCTAAAATCATAGTTGTATCATTTCTAAAACTACTTGCAAGAAGTTGTGCTTATCACTAAATTGAAATAACAAAACAAAATATTTGGTTGGGCTAGGTTAGGTTAGGGAGGATGGTTCTGTGGGCAGAAGTGGAAAACTTTTGACTGGCGTTCACCTGAGAGTGGCCAGAAGTGATTCTTGTGCGTACGGTTCAAATCGTAACTCACAAAGTCCGGATATTTATATCCACGTATCCTTTGGGTAGCAACCAAACACTCGTTTGGAAGCGAGCTAAAGTGAGAAAGCGTAAAACTTCGCTTACGCTGGGATTGGGTCCCGCCCAATGAAAAAGTTCAGAAAGCCTCGGATGAGACCCTCTTATTTTGATGACGTCCACGGCAAACGTACTATGATTTGGGGGTATGCACCTGGAATATCCGAACCCTTAATGGGGAAGGTGCCTCTGCCCGGGAAGACAAAGGCTGGCATCACCGCCATCCAAGAAAAGTGGTGGACGGGGCAAGGCAAGGTAAGCGTGAAGCCTTGCGACACATACAACAGTTGCCCCGTAAAGGAGCGCAGACTGGTGTTCACCCCTGTGGACGAACGTCTAGCCACAATCCGCATAAAAGCAAGATACTGCAATATCTCTCTCATATGCGCTCATGCCCCGACCGAAGAGAAGGAGGAGGCGTCCAATGATCTCTTCTATAAGCGCTTGGAGCCTAAATATGAGCGCTGCTCCCAACACGATATCAAAATTGTGGTCGGCCAAAGTGGGAAAGGAAGGGATATTTGGCGCCACTGTCGGAAAATTCAGCCTCCACGACGAAACGTCCGGTAACGGACTGGGGTTGACCGACGTCGCCGGGGCCCAAACCTGGTAATATGTAGTTCTAGGTTCCAGTATAAGAAGATCCACGGAGCTACATGCCTGTCTCCAAGTCGAAAAACGAGAAACCAAATCGACCATATTGTGATGGACGGAAGGTATGCTTCCAGCGTTTTAGACTTACGTACACTCCGAGGGCCAAACATCGACTTCGACCACTATCTTGTTCTAGTCAAGATACGCACCCGCTTCTGTGCAGCAAAAAATGTGCGCCCGACAACGCAAGGAAAGCTTAACGTCGAAAAGCTGCACTCACAACAGACGGCCAATTTGTACGCCAATCGACTCCCACACCTGCTCTCTGAGAGCACTCTTCAACAATCCGACATACGCGAGCAGTGGAACCACATCTCCCGATCATTAGGTACCGCCGGTACTGGTACGATGAGGAATGTCAAGAAGCCGCAGAGAAAAAAGACGCCGCCTCTAGGGCCATGATGCGATCGGGCGCAACGCGAGCCATGTGGGACTATTATAGCGAATTGAAGAAGGAAGCGATACGTATTTTCCGTAATAAGAAGAGGGAGGCCGAAAGACGTGAGTGCGAAGAGCTTGAGATGCTGGCCGACAGGAGAAACGCCCGAAAATTTTATCAGAGGGTTAGGCGACTTCCGGAAGGTTTCAATACCTGCAAGAACAACCAAGGAGATGTAGTGACTGATGTCCAGAACATACATAAATTATGGAGGGAGCACTTTTCCACCCTTCTGAATGGCAGCAGTGGAGAAAACAAACCCGAGCCCCAAGTCGTTGACGATGGAGTCGATGTCCCACCGCCTGACTATGACGAGGTACGAATAGGGATTACGTGGCTGAAAAACAACAAAGCTGCTGGAGCTGACGGCCTGCCAGCCGAGGTATTCAAGTACGGCGGCGAGCAGCTGATGAGGTGCATGCTTCAGCTCTCATGCAGAATATGGTCAGATAAGTGTTCTCTGCCCAATCCACAAGGAACGCGACCACCCCATTCGCGCCAACTACCGCGGTTTCGGCCTTCTAATCATAGGTTATAAGGTCTTATTGAGTGTATTGTGGGAAAGACTGAAGCCCACCGTCAACGAACTGATTGGACCTTATCAGTGTGGCTTTAGGCCTGGGAAATCCACCACCTGAACTAGGTATTCACAATGCACCAAATTTTGGAAAAGACCCGCGAGAAAGGATACACACACGTCATCTATTTGTCGATTTCAAAGCCGCTTTCGACAGCACGAACATAAGTTGTCTTTATGCCGCGATGTCTGAATTTGGTATCCCCGCGAAACTAATACAGCTGTGTTAAATGACGTTGAACAATACCGTCAGCGCTGTGAGAATAGGGAAGGACCTCTCCGAGCCGTTTGATACCAAACGAGGTTTCAGACAAGGTGTGATTCACACATAAAACTTTTGCTTCGTTTTACGTGACAGATTCGCGTTGACAGATCAAATGAATTGTATTAAAATGCACAAAGCATGCCACACAGATCACTGAAGCTGCAGCGCGAAGCGAAAAGATGGCCAACTCCCATCGTTTTGCGCGTTTTGACAATCAGCCGACTTAATGTTTATTTTGTTTCGTCCAAATTCGAGTTTTCATGTAGAAACATAAAACTTAATTACATTGCTGATATTTTTAAAGCAAAATATATAAAATCTACCG